GCAATTTTGTTCCTTTGGGGACAAAATGTCAAACAGCTCAATTCCCAATGAGTATGAAAAGAAAACTAGAGCCTATAAAGGAAAGTAAGAGGAATATACGACCAGATAACCCTCAACGATCGTCGCTGAAGGATCAGAGTAGGAAGACATCAAAGAAAGAACGCTTAGATAAAACCATCAAAAGCTGAATAGCCATCCATATAGACTCAAAAAAACTTGATAAAGGACGTGAAATTCACATATTCATAGCATTATTTACTATGAACAGACCAGTCACAAAATACGGAGAATAGATAAAACATGAACATGCCAAACTTTAAAAAAATATGGAAAACCGTGAAGCTTGAATGAAATCGAAATATAGAGGAAATATGCATTTTAGACAGATATCAAAAAGGTAAGCAAAATATAGAATTATATCCATAAAGATCTGTTCAGTTCATACTTCAGAAATGAACATGAAATATGGTTGTAACTGCATTAATTCTAAATTTACTGATACAAATATGGGTAACTAGGAAACAAATATTAAAAAAGGGTGACTAAACAGCATGAAATCGATGGGATTAGCCAGAATTTAACAAAATAAGCAATGTTCTTAAGATAAAAAGACGTAAATGTACCACGCCTTCACTAGGGAATGAATTATCTTCTGTGTTATGTGTGAGGGCAGTATCGGGTAGGAGTCCAAGAGATGAAATTGGAACTTCATCCTCCTCTTCAGCTGAATTATTCTGTCCAGTTGATAGTTGTATGCCAATCCAACGATTGTCGACATTATGATGGCCGTTTCTTGACTTTGACTTTCTTTTAGCCATTTTTTTTCTTCGCCGCTCACAGTCAAGACCTTGTTTACTTAATCTGGATTCACTTCTGGGACTTTCTTCATCTTCATCGGCCTCATCATCTTCCTCAGCGCCACTCTCTACAATAATCAAACTATCCGATTTGACAAGACATGATCGGTGTGACTGGAGATCTTTGAATTTCCATGGGAGATCAATTAATTGGGCAGAAGAATCCAAATCAGATGTGCTTTTACGCCCTCTAGCTCTCCTCTTTTTTAAGCTTTTAAGTTCGCTCTTAGAACATGAAGCTCCATCTGAAGTGATTTTGTCTTTCAAACGGCTTGGAGAGATTTTTAAACAGATTGGACAAACAAATTCTATACCCTGGGCCTCCATAAAAGCACCTTGGTCTGGGTCGATGCCAACGCAATCCCCATGATACCATTCATCACAATGATCACAGCATATCATAAATCTAAAAAGGCAAAAGAATATCAGGTAAATAATAAAGAAATTAGTGTTTTTATTCTTTGAAAGCGTATAAAATGAAATAAAACAAAAAATGAC